GTTCACCTGGGTGCACAGGGGGTTCTGGAAATGAGGGTCTGTGGGGACTGCTCTGGCGAGTCTCTCACATGCTTTCTTTGCAGGGAACTGTCCAGAAGAAGAGTGCAGCTTGACGCTGAAAAAAAAATCAAGATCCTCCACTGCTGTGCACAACAGTGAAATCCAGGAGACCTGTGATGGCCACCATGGGGGACATTCCAGGGCCCGCACTGGGCGCAGCCAGCGGCACACGTCTCGGGCCCTAGGAGTCCAAACACCGTCACTTTGAAAAAGCTTGGTGACCTCTGTGCGAGCTATGTCAGAGGCTATTTATCAAGACCTAGCCCAGGTGTGGGCACAGCAGATCCGTTCTCCACTGACCTGGGAGCAGCTCACACTGCTCACTCAGCTCCGGGGGCCTCTGTGTGCCCAGGTGCAGACCTTGTATTCCATGTCCACCCAGGCAGCTTATGTCTTCCCTGCTGAGGGCTGGCTTGTCCCAGCCACACTGCCTGGTCCTGGGGATTCAGCCCTGGATAAAGAAGCCCATCCCTGGGCGGGAGATAACTGAGCCTGTCAGTGGATCAGATGAGGCTGAGCTGGGAGCACCCTAACCCTATTCAGCAGAGGATGCATCTCTGGGAATGAGAACAAGGACCTGTTACTTCTCAGATTCTTCCAGATGACCAGCAGTGACAATTTTGGATGCACTGTGTTAATAAATGACAGAACTTGAAGAAGTCATAGGAAAGAAACTTGAGTGGCATACTCAGAATTGTGAGCCCTGCATTTTGCAGAGCACTAAGGCTATAGACAAATTTTATATTCCATGTTAGACATTTGATGCCTTTCGGATGTCTGATGACAGTCGTGCATTTCTGTATAATCAGAAAAATATTAGAATGTAATCATGTGAATTTGCATATTTTAGATTGTAGAAAAGTAAATACAAAATTATATGCTTTTTTTTTTTGAGACAGTCTTGCTATGTTACCCAGGCTGGAGTGCAGTGGCACAATCCTAGCTCACTGCAACCTCCGTTTCCTGGATTCAAACAATTCGCATGCCTCAGCCTCCCAAGTAGCTGGGACTACAGGCAGGTACCACCATATCTGGCTGAGTTTTTTTCTTGTTTTGTTAGTAGAGACAGAGTTTTGTCACATTGACCAGGTTGGCCTCGAACTCAAGTGATCCGCCAGCCTCCGCCTCCCAGTGTGCTGGGATTACAGGCATGAGCCGCCTGACCAAGAAATTGCTTCTCTTTTAATTCAGAAAAGGTTGTAGGCTCTCACTCTTCCAGCCTGAACCCATGGAGTACTAATATCCACAAACCATTAATAGCAATCCCTGTGGGAAAATGTCTATACATTTTTACAGTTTGATATAAGTATAGTAAAATTAATATGCAAGCTATTGACTTTTAATATTTCTACATAAAATTTAAGTCAAGATCTATTAAATGGTAAATGATTATACTTATTTATTCACCTGCCTCATGTTTTATTTCATTTTAAATATCCTAAATTTAAATTTTATTGTATTTTATACATTTCAATTGATTGTACTGTATTGCAGGATATGGAGATTTCATCACATACTACAGCACAGTGTATTTTGTTATATTTGACATACATTCTGGTATTTTGTACTGAGATCGTACAATCTTTCATTATCTAAGAGTATTAATTACTTATTTGGTTGCTTTATAATTTTCATTTTATGTAATAATGAAATAAACATTAATGTTGTTTGGAATTTTAAATTTCTTTCATATATAATTTGTATCTAATAAAGATGTGAAAAAGAGAATGTCTTATCTTCACTTCTGCGTCATCCTAACCCTGACCTCCCCGCAGCCCACAGCTCTTGTCATAGTCCGGGGACAGTGTTCCATTACTACAGGAAATGGGGCCAGTTCAATGGGAATACACAGAGAGCAATTGAAGACATAGAGATTTTATCCTCCACCACTGCGATAGAAAAGAACCACAGTCATGTGAGACACAATTTTCAGGTTGACACTGCTTACGAGTTATGCTTACACTATGCTGTAGAATAACTCTGACATAAATTTATGTATATTAAATAAATACACATACATAAATAACGTGTCTAAATAACAATGTATATATCTTAATGAAAATGAACTTTATTGCTAAAAAAGTTAACACACGGATACACACAATGGGATCATAAAATGTTGAAAAATAGAGATGGGGAGAGGAACACAGACATAGAGAAAGGAAGGAACAGAGCTAGAAAAGGACAGA